AATAAAATGCTGATGTTTTATAAAGTGAAAGTGACTTATCATGATCACATTCTACTCTATGTCACTGGCATTACACAATGGGTTCTTAAATGTCATTTTCTATGGAATCAGGTCCTGGTTTGTAATGTGTCCATTGGCACATATGCAAAGGGACACAATAATCCAAACAAAGAAAACAAAGATTTCACAACTTGAATGAATTACTAGAAATAGTATGACTGATATTAGAACAAATAATTTCTTAGACTCAACAATGTGAAACTATGAATCAAAACAAAGATACCCGGATCTTGTAAATGCTGTGGCACAAGCTCACATTTTTCCAAAGAGAGAAATTGTTTCTGAAATATTAAAGATATTGGTTAGTTGCACGGTGACCTCAGAAACACTGCCCTAGTGTGGCAAATCTGCTAAACTTACTGACTTATCAGGTATGGCATGGTTTCCAAACCAATCCTCAAGGCATGCCGAACAGTCCAAGATTTAGGGCAAGCACGTCAAACTCAAAGGCTAGCACAGGCCAAAAAAACAAGTTTTAAGTTTATGTGGGCCGCAAAAAATCAAAACTGAAATTTTCATAGAAACGTAGGTTTCTTTTGAAAAGTACAGCAAAAAAAGAAAACATCTCCCTCTATAAACCCCAGTCCCTCCCTCAATACTAAATCCCAGCACCCCCTCTACTAAACCCCTGCCCTTGTTTAAAAAACAACAACAATATTAGCCAACAAGAAGACTCCACTCACATTGCTGCTGCCAGTATGCAACTCCGGAGTCCAGCCTCTGATATACCCCAATGGCGCCATCCGCACCTTGTGCCAAAGCGGATGCTCCTGCTACTCCTTGAAACCCTGTGAAGGTGGAGCACGTTGACGTCACGTCGGAATGTGAAGTGGCGTTGCGTGCCTCTGTGCACCTCCAGGTCCTCCACTGACAGACACATTCACTGACAGACACACAGACACTGACAGACACACACACTCACTCGCTCACTGACAGACAGACAGGCACACAAACTGACAGACACACTCACTCACTGACTGACTGACAGACAGGCCCACACACTGACAGACAGACAGACACACACACTGACAGACACACGCTTTCTGACAGACACACACACTGACAGACAACACACACTTACACATTCTTGTACACACTCACATCATTTTATTTATTGTTCCCTACCTTTTGGAGCTGGAGTGGGGCCTCTCCCTGGGTCTCCCCCCCTGCTCCTCACTGCTCCCTCACGCGTGCAGTTTAGTAATGCCGGGTGCCGAAATTACGTAATTTTCCGGCACCCCGAATAGAAGGTTTATGCACAGTTGCAAGACTCTGGAGGACTCTACACCTTGATGTCCGTGGGACTCCAGAGGCACCAGCAGCTTCAAATATCTGTTTGCTGCTATGCAATGGTATTTTAGCAGCTGCTCTCTTGATCCGATGCATGGATCTGGCAGAAATCTTCCTCAATATGCCTTTATCTGCACGAACCTGTCTGTGCTCTGAATCAGCCACAAATCTCTTATTAGTGTGATGATCACGCTTAAGTTTTCGTGAAATATCTAATGTTTTCATACCTCGTTCAAGGCATTGAACTATTTCACTCTTTTCGGCAGCAGAAAGATCCTTTTTCTTCCCCATATTGCATGAAAATGGTGCCCTGCTTAATAATGTGGAACACCCTCCTTTAGTAGTTTTTCCTTGAATTGGGCTCACCTGGCAATCTAATTATCACAGGTGTCCGAGATTGTTTTCAGTAATCAAAAGAGCCCTGAGACACAATGTCATCCATGAGTTAACCCCTTAAGACTGGAGGGCGAACTATTACGCCCTATTCTAAGTGGCTCTAAACGCCGCCGGGCGTAATAGTACACCCTCCGGTCTTTTCCTACTTACCCGGTCGCCGGCGATCCCACGCCGGCGATCGCAGTTGGGGGGACTCCCAGGGAGCCCCCCGCGGCACGTCCGACCCCCTGGAAGCCCCCTGGCCATGTGAGAGTGAGGTCCTTGCGAGGACCCCACAATCACATGGCCGGGGGTAGCTGGCTGCAGCATTGCCAGCAGGGGGACTGCCTGTAATGACAGGTGGTCCCCCTGCTGGCTGGAAATAAAATAAATAAAATTAAAAAGTGTAAAAAAATAATAATATATACTTAGATCATATATATATATATATATATATATATATATATATATATATATATATATCACTATATATATACACCTATATATAAATAAAAATATTTTTTTTAAAATTATATAGATATATATATATATACACATACGTATATATATATACACATATATTAATTCTACATATATATTTATGTAATATTTTTACATAATTGGGTATCTTAATTAATTACAATTAGCGGGACCTGCCTGACAACCCATGCCAAAAGTAAAGGGAATTTAATTTGCTAGCACTATATTTAACCCTATAACTTTCCAAGACACCATAAAACTTGTACATGGGGGGTACTGTTCTACTCGGGAGACTTCGCTGAACACAAATATTAGTGTTTCAAAACAGTAAAATGTATTACAACGATGATATCGCCAGTAAAAGTGATGTTTTTTGCATTTTTCATGCACAAACAGCACTTACACGGACGATATTATTGCTGTGATACTTTTTGCTGTTTTGAAACACAAATATTTGTGTTCAGTGAAGTCTCCCGAGTACAACAGTACCCCTCATGTACAGGTTTTATGGTGTTTTCAAAAGTTACAGCGTCAAATATGAGGCTTGCGTTTCATTTTTTTCACATTAAAATTCGCCAGATTGGTTACGTTGCCTTTGAGACCCTATGGTAGCCCAAGATTGAAAATTACCCCTATGATGGCATACCATTTGCAATAGTAGACAACCCAAGGTATTGCAAACAGGGTATGTCCAGTCTTTTTTAGTAGCCACTTAGTCACAAACACTGGCCAAAATTGGCATTTTTTGCATTTTCACACACAAACAAATACTAACGCTAACTTTGGCCAGTGTTTGTGACCAAATGGCTACTAAAAAGACTGGACATACCCCATTTGCAATACCTTGGGTTGTCTACTATTGCAAATGGTATGCCATTATGGGTGTAAATTTCATTCCCGGGCTACTATACAGTCTCAAAGGCAACATAACCAATCTGGCCAATTTCAATTTCAAATGTAACATGCTATATTTAACCCTGTAACTTCCCAAAACGCCATAAAACCTGTAAATAGGGGGTACTGTTTTACACGTGAGACTTTGCTGAATACAAATATGTGTATTTTATTGCAGTAAAAGCAAACAGTATTATGACATTGACCGTTAAAATGTCATGTAGAACTAAAAAAATTAAAATAAAATTGTATTTTCTCCCATTTTTTTCATATTAAATTATGTTTCATAGCTAAATATTTGATATTAAATGAAAGCCCTGTTTCCCCTGAATAAAATGATATATAATAAGGGTGGGTGCATTTACAATGAAAGAGGTGAATTACGGTTGGACAAACATGTAGCGCAAATGCCAGGTTTTGTTTATATTTTGTTTTGTTCACAACGTGTACATTTGGCTCCGTCCTTAAGGGGTTAAACTGAAAAACAAAATATTGCAGAGTAATTATTGTAGTGAAAGAGTTTCCTGCTGATTGGCAGATATTTTAACATTTTCTAACAGAATTACAACATAATGATGATTCATAATGATAAAGAGAGTTCCAAATATGGCAGCTTAGTTAGAACCATTTTATTTACTGAAATCAAAGATTCTGCATAGGGAGTCATTAAGAAAGGTCGGTGTGACTGTATAATGTGCATTACTAGTAGTCTGAACTAGTCATAAAGAGTGCTGCTTCTTGGGAAGGCTATATTTTTGCTATCAGGTGGTGTGTGAACGGTTTATGCCCTCATAAGAATGACCATAATTAATGAACATTATCGGTAAATAAAAAATATTCTGACCCAGAGGCTTTGTCTGTTTACAGGAAATACGATTGCTACATGTTTCCACATCCTCTCTCCTCAATAGGTATTTAATTCTTCATAATTTTTTTTTTTTTTTAATTCTTTATTTTTGTAGTGCGGGTAGGTACAAAGTTACTTAAAACACCACAACAGCGTGTATCAACTTATAGCAACATATAAAAGAGCTTAACAGTGGCATGCATAATCACACATTTTTTGTTTTATACATTCACTAGATTCATCCACTATTACTCTCAGGTTATTCAACATTTAGTCCATTGTAGGCATGTGCATGAGGAAAATATTCGGCTCAGTTCGGCATTCCGAAATTCGGGACTTCGACAATTCGGCAATTCAGCTATTCAGACATTCTGAAGCACACGAATGTCCGTATTTCCCGAAATTCGGACGAATTTTCATTCGAACCGAAATGAATTGCACATGCCTAGTTGCTTGGCATAGCAGGGCATAACATATTTTCTACATAAAGAAGACGTAGTTGTATGGGTAGAATGACCTATATGCTATATTGTTATATTGGTCTCTAGGAGTGTCATTTTTTTTTTAAACCTGCAAATTTTTGTAGTTTTAAATAATTTGAACAAAGATATCTCAAGGCTCGTTTAGTAACGATAAGTTAGAGCACATATAACTGAGTTTCAGAAGATCAAAAACATAATGCTGCTAATGATCTGCTTAGCACTACAGTGTGTAGACAATTTAAGTCATATTGTGTGTTGCATTGATAAGACATGTTAAGTTTTGTGTCTATTATGGTTACATTCTAGTGCTCTTAAAACATGCTGAACCAGAGTAGTTAGTCATATGAGCCCAGTGGCCCATGCATGGTAGTTTAGGGAGACAGACATTATAGATGTGGTTAACGAATACAGCGCTTAAAGTTACCACCCCATGTTAACCCTGAGTTGGCAAGAGTCCTTGTCAGCATTTATGGCGACCCTTTGGTTTACAGCATAAGTCACTGTAGTGAGGCCGAATGCTTAATGGCTGCCGCTGTGCTTACAGTCCCAGATGGTGGTGTTGTAAGGGGGGTCTAGATTCCCCTCTTGGGTCCCTTTCTGTTCAGCCGGGTGCCTGTCTTAGGCTTGGAGAGAGCTTCTGCATACTGGCTGTGGGTGGGCAGACCTTCTGATTCAGGCCCTTTGCGGGAAGCTGGGCGATGTGGCAGGTTAGTCCTGTGCTTTATAACGCTTTCTCTCTTCATGGTCTGTACCTGCCGTTGTGTCGGGCTCCATTGCCGCTCCTTCTGAGCTTGCGGGAGTTTGGCTCTTACTTGCCAGTACCATCTCTGATATGATCTGCGATCCTTCCGTGTGGGAGCAGGAGAGGCGGTGCGTCCGGCGGCTCTCTCGTTGGAGTTGCCATGCGGTCTCGGACCCTTGTTGGTATTATGGCACTTCATTGGGTCACAGGATATATCTGTTGGTAAGAAAACTAAAATAGCTCAATTTTGTTAGTATTTAAAGGAGAAATGCTGCACAGTCATCCTTTAACCAACTGACTATTTAAAGATGCTACAGCGAGTACTTGAAGTCTCACACATCAAAGCAGTTGTTGGCTGTTGTTGTATAGTTACACTAATCACACTAGCTAAAGGTAATAACTTTTTAGGATCGTATTTTAAGCAGAAAGTATTGCTCACTCTACATTGCCAGGGCTGTGTAGAGATGCAAATTTAAAACAAGCAGAACATTACATTCTTGAATGATGACTACATAGGCTAGGTTGTAGTGTATAGAATATTGCATATTCTATATGTTCCTATTCAAATACATATTAAGGTGTGGCTGTCTAATGGGTTAAATAGAACAGATGGCGTTTGCTATTCTGTACCATGAGGTCTCTGGAATTTGCTGTATAAGAGAGATTTGAGGTGGTCTTTATATGGGGAATTTCCTTATATGGCCAGAGTCTAAACCAAACATTATGACGTAATTTGGGCTATAAAGGGTAGAGGACAAAGGACCACGCTCTCTTCCTTCTACGATCCGTTTTGCTCTCCTCTCTGATGTCCTGAGTTGCTGATACTAAGACGACTCTCTGTAACGTCGTTAAGAAATACCATCTGTTAAGTATATTATTGTTTGCTGTTGAATATAGACATATATTAATGTTGCGAGCATTAGGCCCAAGAAGAAATATCTATATATATATATATATATATATATATATATATATAAAAGACTTATTCAACTAAATAAACACAGCCAGTTATTACATAGTGATTTCATAAAGTATTGAAGTATTGGTCCTTAAAAGGATACTAAAACCCTTTTGAGTGAGGGATCCTGTACTGTGTAATATGCCCTATTAGACATATTATGTATAACTCCAACTCCCCCTTTGCAGTAAAACCTGCAAAAATAAAGAGATTTACTCACATTTTTATGCACAAAGTAACATAATGAAGCCCAAAACAAGAGTGGCATACCTATGACCACTTCAAAAAGAAAAGTTGGTGAAAACGATTGGATTCTGACTGGATTGAAAATTCAGATATTTACCAACTCTTGTCAAAATTCTTTCATTCTGACCAAATGAAGACTTCTGGCTGGATACATTTGGGGTTTGCTTTAAAATCAGTGCTTTTGACTTATTTTGACAGATATTTGTTTAAGTCTGTGGAAGCTGCCAATGTAAAATGTAAAAAAAAAAAATGCAAATTGGGTTTCAGTTTAACCCCTCCCCCAACTCTGGGTAGAACATTTCTTCTTTTTATATTTTCTGACCCACAATGCTTGTTCCATTCTGATCCAGATGTTAGCCATTCAGTTAGGCTGAAATGTACACTATATGAAAAAAAGCATTGGGACACAACACTTACTGAACTCAGGTGTTTCAATCAGACGCATTAAAATAGACGAACGTAGCCTTGCAGTCTGCATTTATAAACATTAGTCAAAAAAATTAGTAATTCTGCAGACCTCAGTGAATGCAAGCATGGTACTGTGTTAGGATGATACTTTTGCAATAAGTCTGGGTTTGGCAGATGCCAGGAGAACCTGCCTGACTGCATTGTGACAACTGTAAAGTTTGGTGCATGAGGTATAATGGTATTGGGCTGTTTTTCACAGATTGGCCTAGGGCCCTAGGCCCATTACTTCCAGAAAAGAAAGATTTGAATGCTTCAGCATTCAATGCTATGCTTCCAACTTTGTGGAAACAGTTTGATGAAGGCCCTTTTCTATTCCAGCATGACTGTGCCACAGTGGACAAATCAAGGTCCGTAAAGACATGGTTGGATTAGTTTGGTGTGGAAGAACTTGACTGGCATGCATACCTTTCGGATTAAATGAAACAGAGATTGCGAGCCAGGCCTTCTCATCCAATGAGATGCCTGACCTCACAAATGCTGCACTTTATGATTGACCAAACATTCCCACAGAAACACTCCAAAATCTCATGTAAACCGTTCCCAGAAGAGTGGAAGGGAACCCTGTGTTTGGCACCTCCCTCCCCCGTCCCCCCCCTACACTTAAATGTAAAAAAAATACACACAATATTTTTGAAAATGTTTTCATTTTTAAAAATTGCACAAATGTGTACATTTGGAAAAAAAACCTGTTCTGCCCCCTTTTACAAAATCCATCTCCTGCTGCTTCTCTACAAAATGTATGTCCTGCCCCCTTCTACAAAACCTCTGCACCCCCCTTCCACAAATCCCCTACTAAGCCCCCCTTATACACCTGTCCCCTTCTACAAACTCCTGCACCCCCGTTCCATAAAACTCCTGCACACCCCTTCCCAAAAAAACCTGCCTCTTCCTCTAAAGCCCCTGCTCAGCCCCTAACAATACAATTATTATTTTTTTACACAACAATATTAGCAACAGTTTTCAGAGACCAGTCCCAGGCACATAGTCACTCGCACACAGTCACACACATAGTTACAGGCAGAAAGTCACACACACACGCAGACAGTCACATGCAGATAGCCACACACACAGTTAAAGGCAGCATCCCCCAATCACAGGCACACTGTCACACACACATAGTCACATGCAGACAGTCACACACAGACACACTGTCCCACACAGCCAGTCACAGGTAGACAATCACACACACACGCACACACACACACACACACAAACACAAACACAGCCACAGGCAGACAGTCACACACACAATCACAGGGGCAGACACACACACACACAATCACAGGCAGACAGTTACACATGCACACAATTACAGGCAGACAGTCACACACACACACAGAGCCAGAAACAAATATTAAAACTTTATTTACTCAGCCATACTCTGAGCATAACCCAGACCTGCCACGTTGGTATCCTAGGCTGCTGCACAAAACCTACACATCACCTGATGTTTGAGAACAAATGCCCTGAGGAATGGAATAAAATAATATGATCTCATATTTTTTACCTGATTTTTTTTTTTAGGTTTAGAGAAAGTGACTTTATATTAACCCCTTGGTGACCAGACCGTTTTTCCGTTTTCTTACCGTTAAGGACCAGGGCTCTTTTTAAATTTCTGCGGTGTTTGTGTTTTGCTGTAATTTTCCTCTTATTCATTTACTGTACCCACACATATTATATACCGTTTTTCTCACCATTAAATGGTCTTTCTAAAGATACCATTATTTTCATCATATCATATAATTCACTATAAACAAACATTATCTGTCAGTCCCTACATTGGCTTCCTGTAAGATATAGGGCTCAAATTCTGGTTCTTGCTTTCAAATCTCTACATAATGCTGCTCCCACCTATCTATCCTCCCTTATACACAAGTATGTCCCGTCTAGGCCCTTACGATCTGCTGAAGACTTACGTCTATCTTCTGTCCGTACTCCCACCTCTGATGCCTGATGCTTGCCTTCAAGACTTCTTGAGGGCTACACAGTTCCTGTGGAACTCACTTCCCTCCTCCGTTAGATGTCACCCAGTCTCCACTCCTTCAAAAAATCATTAAAAACCCACTTCTTCATAAAAGCATATCAATTAAACTGTTAATAGCTCCTGACTGATTCCTCTCTTACAACTGAGACTGGGCCCCTTAAAACAGCATTAACACCCAGCACTCCCAAGCAACCAAGTCCTGCTGAATCTTCAGAGCAGAGGTATTATCTCTGGAAGATCAACTCAAGAATACCTGCATTACTGTTTCCTTTGAACTCTTATTTTCAAACTGTGTTCTATTCCATCTCCCTCCCTATACTACCACTACTTAATTGATAACTATATCTCCCATCCTGATCTTCTGTTTTTGTTTTTATTAAGGCTGGTATGATCATGTAATTTTATGTTCATTCTCTTAGACTCTTTGTTAATGGTTTGTTTGTTTAGCTAGTGTTACTACTCTCACTGATAATATAGTAAATTTATGTTCATGGTTTATGACTTTCACCTATCTGATCCTTCCTATCTTTTTATCCCAAATGTTCTCTCCTTTTAGTTTTTCATCTCTAATTAATTACCTCAATAGCCCCATGTCTCCCCACCCATAACAGTGTGTTTTATTTCATTTTTTTTTCTAACCTCAGACCTTATATTTCAGACTGGGCCCCTTAAAACAGCATTAACACCCAGCACTCCCAAGCAACCAAGTCCTGCTGAATCTTCAGAGCAGAGGTATCATCTCTGGAAGATTGCCCACCCTCCCCACACCATCCCACCCCATGGTCATCAACTTATTTATAGATAGTGCACATCAGCAGGTTTCCTTAACACCACTCATTAAGTCATTAAACCACTCTTCACATGAATTCTTTTAACACACTGCATCCTTACAATGGTTTAAACACTCATTGATATTTGTGTGTGTTTGTATATATGATCTACATATCTATATAATACACATTTTCTCTAATGTTCTCCCTTCTATTTTTCACTTTAACACTAACTTCTGTCATTACTAAAATATCCCTATCCTTTCACTCACCTGTCCCTGGCAACACCATCATCATTACTTCCACCTTACTCCCCTCCCCTCTCTATTCATCCCATGCACTCTACACATACCTTTCCAGCCTATCTCCACCAACTCTTTCCAAATCCTCTACATACATACCCTCCTACAAAACTTTAAAATCCTACTCCAACCTTCACTTCCTTTCTATCCTTCTGCTCCTAGCAGCTGGTGATGTCTCTCCAAACCCCGGTCCCCTCTCAACAAACTCAGCACATACTAACCCAAGGATCCACACTAATCTCATACCCATCTCTTGTTCCTCTAAATCCTCCTTCAATACTGCCCGCACGCTCTGTTTGCAATATAACGCACGCTCTGTTTGCAATATAACTAAATCCACTGCTGTCCATGACTTCTTCATCTCTCGTTCAATAGATTTACTAGCCTTAACAGAAACCTGGCTCTCCCCCTCTGACACTGCCACCCCTGCATCTTTGTCCTTCGGTGGTCTCCAACTTACCCACAACCCAAGAAACTCTGAATGTAAAGGAGGTGGTGTTGGGTTTCTCCTCTCCCCTCACTGCTCTTTTAAACCTCTTCCCACCCCCCCTTCCCTCTCTTTCCCGTCATTTCAAATACACTCAATTCGCCTTTTCAAACCCTTCTCTACTAACATTGCTGTTATTTACCGTCCCCCTGGTTCCCCTCTTCTCTTCCTTGACCACTTTGCTGCCTGGCTACCCTATTTCCTCTCTTCTAACATTCCATCCCTAATTCTCGGGGACTTCAATATTCCTATAAACCCACCCTTGACCTCTGCAGCCAATAAACTACTTTCAATTACTTCCTCCCTCGGGCTATCACAGTGGGCAAATTCTCCCACCCATGTAGCTGGCAATACCCTTGACCTAATCTTCACTTACGCATGTACTGTATCTAATATCTGCAACATTCCGTATCCACTCTCTGATCACCACCTCTTATCGTTTGCTCTCACGTACCCCCTCACCCAACAACCTCCGCCTAACCAGCCTCAACTCAGGAGGGACCTTAATTCTCTTGATCTCCAACAGTTGTCAGCTGACATTGATTCACAACTGCTGTCCATCCCTTCCCTCTCCTGTCCTTCACTGGCCATCTCCATATATAACTCTACCCTTACATCTGCCTTGAACACTGCAGCGCCACTCCAAACAAGCTCCTCAAGGAGGACTCGCCCCCAACCATGGCATACTAAATCAACGTGCTACCTGCAAAGATGCTCCCGTTGTGCTGAACGCTCCTGGAGGAAGTCTCGCACCCAGTCAGACTTTCTCCATTATAGATTCATATTGTGTTCATACAGTGCAGCCCTTGCCCTTGCCAAACAGTCCTATTTTTCCTCTCTCATTAGTTCATGTTCCCGCAACCCCAGGCGTCTCTTTGACACCTTTAATTCTCTTCTTCGCCCCACTGTGGCCACCCCCCAAGCCAACCTTACTGCTGATAACGTTGCATGCTACTTCACTGACAAAATTGAACAGCTAAGGAAAGAATTCTCCCCTCCTTGCCTTTCTGTTTCTCAATCACACATAGATCATGCCTTTCCTACCCTTCAGATATTCTCCCCAGCCACTTTCCAAAAGGTGGCTGCTCTTCTTTGCTCCTCTCGCCCCACCACTTGCCCGCTCGATCCTGTCCCATCTCACCTTATCAGCTCTCTCTCCACTTGTCTCGTGCCTTCTCTAACACACATCTTCAACTACTCGCTCTCTTCTGGCATCGCCCCTGCTGACCTTAAACATGCCACTGTAGTACCTATACTAAAAAAAACATCCCTCGACCCGTCCACCCCCTCTAACTACCGTCCCATATCCCTGCTCCCTTTTTCCTCAAAGCTTCTGGAACGACTTGTCTTTACCCGTGTGTCTCATTTCCTCAATTCCAACTCTCTCCTTGACCCCCTTCAATCTGGCTTCCGCCCTCTCCACTCTACAGAGACTGCCCTTATCAAAGTTACTAACGACCTAATCGCAGCTAAATCCAAAGGCCACTACTCCATACTAATACTTCTTGACCTCTTAGCGGCCTTTGACACCGTTGATCATGCTCTCCTTCTTTAAACTCTGCAATCGCTTGGTCTCTGTGACTCTGTCCTCTCATGGTTTTCCTCTTATCTCTCCCAACGCTCATTCAGTGTCTCTTTTTCTAATGATACCTCCTCCCCTCGCCCTGTCTCGGTTGGAGTCCCCCAAGGCTCCGTCCTTGGTCCCCTTCTATTTTCTCTTTATACTGCCTCTCTTGGCAAACATATTACCTCATTTGGATTCCACTACCACCTGTACGCTGATGACACCCAGCTATATCTCTCCTCCCAGGACCTCTCCCCTGCTGTCCTGCAAGAAAGGGGCGGGGAGAGATTGAGTTTCAGAAAGCGGGAGGACATCCAGTCAGAGATGGAAGAAAGGCAAGCAGTAACACACACACACTAAAACTAACACACTCCCTGACACTCACTAGCAGACACACACACTGACACACAAAAACTAACACTAATACACACACACACTCTAACACTAACACACATACACACATGGTTTTTTTTATGATCTAAGTATATATATATATATATATATATATATATTTTTTTTTTTTTACACTTTACTTTTTAATTAATTTATTTAAATTTTATTTTCAGCCAGCAGGGGGACCACCTGTAATTACAGGCAGCCCCCCTGCTGGCAATGCAGGAGGCAGCCAGCCCCGGCCATGTGATTGTGGGGTCCTCACAAGGACCTCACGCTCACATGGCCGGGGGGCACCGGAGGAGGAGGATCTACCACCGCGATTGCTGGCGAACGGGTAAGTAAGGAAAGACCGGAGGGCGTACAATTACGCCCGTCGGCGTTTAGAGCCGCCTAAAATAGGGCGTAATTGTATGCCCTCTGGTCTTAAGGGGTTAAACTTGTGGTATTTTGACTCTTTTCATGCAACCATTTTACCACCAATCTATGCCAAAAATTGTTTAATTGTTTTAAAAACGTCTTTCAAAATATTTTCACAAAAGGCTGGTGATATTGTGAAAATATTTTGAAAGATGTTTTTAAAAATATAACTTTTTTGAAATGCTTTATAAAAATTTTCCTTCTTTTTTTCAAAAATTTTTTTACTCTTATCACTCTTTTTTGTCTACAATATATATATTTTGTTTTATTTTTCTATTAAGATTATTATGATTCAGTTCTTTTTTCTTTCTTTTTATTTCCCCCTCCTCCCTTTTATCCCTATGAATCTCCTGTACATATATGGATATTTCTCCTCCAATAGACACATGAATGCTATGGAGGTTTTGTATTTAAGTATACAGGGTTTGATCAGACGAACATAGTCTGTCCTCTCTTTTTGTCCCTTTTATATAAGGGCATTTATCCTATGTCAGGACTTATTAGGAACTTTCTGTGACTGCCTGCTCATTCATATATATGTATGTGGTATGTGGCGATTTTGCTGTTCACTCTGTGCGCTGTATCATTTCTGTATTGATATCTTGACTTGCGCACTGATGATTGTGAGAGAGCATTTATTCTAAGTTTGGCGCGCATGCGCGGACACTCTGGCGGGACATGCGCATTAACTAATCCCGGCAAGCGAGGGGATTGGACGTTGCCAGCTTAGCACTACCTGATGGGCGGTCAGTAGCGGCTATATAGATGGGAATGAGAGGGGGGGGTGGGATCTAATTAGACATACTGTACTTTGCTCTTGAGAAAGGCGGTTTACCCGCCGAAACGCGCGTCAGGCTTGTTTCTCCGATGTACATTGTTATACCTTTAGTGTTACTCTTTTAGATTAATGTTTTAGTGACTCTGGGGTTGATCGGTTCTATACGCTGGGATGATTATTTAATAGGGAGATATTGTGAGGTGGATCTATCTAGTTTTGTCTGTCTTACTTAGACTTACTTTATATTTATATTTATATCCATCTCTACTTTTCATTTCTCTCTTCGTTTATATTATCTTCCCTATCCTTTCGATTTCCAATGCAAGTCAACTAACTTGCACTTTCTGACTTTCTGCAGGGTTTAATCTATAATATATAACCTACTTAGCACTAACTCTTTCTGAGTTTAGACTATTATATGGAATAGTGCTCCGATTATTTTCACCTATACTGGAACCTTGCAGTTTATAGACAGTATTGTGTTATCTTTATGAGTCCTTAGGTAATTTGATTTATTTTTTATTTATTTTTCTCAATTTGTTTTTGTTTGAATATACCTTTACCTTTAGTGGACTCCTATTAACAGTGTATTGAGTGTTTAAATACGTTGGGGCGACCATATAATATAGTATGGAGTTACTATGAGACTGATTTTTTCAGCTCTGGGGTTTATTTGAACTTTCTCTTTACTTATATGGTCCTCCCCATTAGTTTACTCTTTTTATACAAGTTTATCCCTTTTGTTAGGTTCAATATGTATCCAAGTATCATGTGTAGCTTTAACTCTGTTTGAGTTCAATCTGCTACATATAACAGTGATTGATACATGCTGTTTCCATTATAACCTTGTAGTCCACTGTCCTATATACGAGTCCTTAGGTTTTTTGATTTTATTCTTAATAAAATTTATTTATTTTCCTTAGACGTTGATTTGTCTTGGGTGGTTTGAAGGAGAACAGCCTGATCTGTTACGGGGTTGTTTTTTCCTTCACTTTTTTGTATATTTCGTGCTTTATGCAGGGTTATGCCCGTATTGCCACCCTTATAACCCGCTTTTCTCTGTACTCCCTATTTGGATTTTCTATCTAGGGAATACTTCTATTTACTATGTATAATATATATATATATTTTTTTTTTACTTTTTAGCAGCCTGGGGGACTGTCGGACAGCTCAGACAGTCCCCCTGTTGGCAGCTCCTCGACTCCTATTGCTGCGATGTAATCATGGTGATCACATAGCCCTGGAGGGCCAGGGTGGTCTCCGGCAGTCCCCCCCCCCCACCGACCGTGATTGCTGCGTATTGCTGGTCCAGGTAAGTCCAGGGTTCCTACTTGCCGCGGACGTACCTAGTCCTTTACAATAATTTTTTGTCGGACATACGTAGTACGTTCAGAGTCGTTAAGGGGTTATACATATATATATATATATATATATATTATTTCATTCTAAGTGTATTTTTATATAAATATTTATATATTAATATCAAAATATATCAAAATATAGTTAGAATAAAATTACATGTATATATATCATTTTTTGAAAATAATTTTTATTTTTTTAATTTATTTTTAATTATTATTTATTTTTTATAATATATATATATATATATATATACACACACACTATATATAATATATATATACATATATATATATATCTGTGTAATTTTACTCTAAGTGTATTATTATATTAATATATGTATCTATTAATTAAAAATAATATATATATACATATTATATATAGATATAACATACGTGTATATATCATATATATCTTTTTTTAAATTTATTAACTATATATTGAAACTTTTATTTTACTTTTTCCACCAGCAGGGGGACTGCCTGTAAAAAAGTTATTTTGCCCATTCCCTCCACCTCCCCCAGCGCAAAGTTGGCCAAAAGCCAGATTCCCATCTGTCATACATCTCCCATGGTGTGTTGCCAGCTGGGGATTTACCATTTGCCCATCTTTTCAGGGTCTTATTTTTGTGCAGTGTTTGTATGTTTGACTGCAAGTATATTTTGTATGGATTATTTGTGTGTAAATGTAACAGTCTATTGTATGTAATGTTGGCATTTGAATGCAGTTGTGTTTGTATATACTGTTGCCACCTGAATGCAGTGGTGTAGTTGTGTGTAGTGTGTTTAAAAGCAGGGGTCTGTTTGTATGTAGTTTTGGTGTTTGATTGCAGGAGCGTGTTTATATATAATGTTAGTGTTTTAATACACAGGTTTGTTTGTTTGTATGTAGTGTTAGCGATTGATTGCAACAGTGTGTTAGTATGTATTGTGTGCATATACCAGCATGCTGGTCCCAAACAGCTAATGGGGGCACGCAGGGAGTAGGCCTACAGTGGCGTACACATGACCCATGGGGCCCCAGTGCGAAAATTGATCCGTGGACCCCCCCCGCACTTACTATGCACGGGCCGGGGCTGCAACATATGGCGGCGGGCACCTGGTCGCAGGGCTGCGACCCCTGCGACGGCAGTATGTACGCCAGTGCATGCAGATACACATACACTTAAAAACCACTATAGACAACCAGATCACTTCAGCTCAGTGAAGTAGTCTGGGTACCAGGTCCCTATAGTTTTAACCATGCAGCTGAAAACAAAGCAGTTTCAGAGAAACTGCTATGTTTCATTGAGGGTTAATCCAGCCTCTAGTGGCTGTCTCACTGACAGCCACTAGAGACACTTCTGCGATTCTCACTGTAAAAATCACAGTGAGAAGACGCTAGACGTCCATAGGCAAGCATTGAGTAACAGACACACACAGTAACACACTCACTGACACACACACACTTACTGACACACAAACTAACACACACACTGACACTCACTAGCAGACACACACTCAATAACAGACACACACAAACTAACACACAACTAATACACACAGTAACACACACACACTAAAACTAACACACTCACTGACACTCACTAGCAGATACACACACTGACACACAAAAACTAACACTAACACACACACACTCTAACACTAACACACATACACACATTTTTTTCTTTAAATTTAATCCTCCCGCCTCCCTACCTTTGGGAGTGCTGAGGGGATTCCCTGGGATCCAGTGGGACTGCTGGACTGCCGGTCCTGCAGGCGTCGAGCGAGCACTGATCCTCCTGTTCAGCTCCCTCGCATGCCGTGTACTGATGCTGGAGACGGAATGACGTCATATTCCAACTCCAGTATCACTGCGGTGTGCGAGGGAGCTGGGAAGAGAGTGCTCAGGGGAGAATGCTACCTTGCGCGCCCACCAGCTCGCCTGTCCGGTGACACCAGGGCCAGCCTTGGGGGCCCTAAGGTGGCCAACTCCTGGGCCCCCCAGGAGAAGAGTGCCCCGTACATATTGGGTCGCCCGGTGAGCCGGGCCCGGTCGCAGCTGCGACCGCGGTATGTATGCCCGCCCAGGCATCTCTGTGTCTGGGAGATAAATTAATTTGATTTTGCTTCAACTAATTATCTCCCAGGCACTAGAGGTACAATACATAAAAAACATAAAACACCCCAAAATACATATAAAACAGATAGGAACCCCCACAAGTATTATATCCTCGGATAGCCCGGATCTGAGCGACCAAGTTGTCAAAACAGCACTCAGATCCATGAAGTGTAGCTAAATCGCCACCGAGTAAACTTTTGACCGACCAGACACATGGCTGTGGCCCAAAATAGTAATGCAATATAATCAAGAAGGTAGGCACACTAACTGAATAACATAAGGATATATCAGTAGAAACAAAATATCTGAACCGGGTGCTTGCTCAAAGGTCCTATTCTCCCAGGGGCCTAAACAATCTATAAATAATACTAAATGAGGAGCACAACAATACAGATAAAAAAATTACTTTATTAGTTGGGTCCAGTACACTAGGTATCCCAAATTTATACCGAACAACATTAGCAACAATATCAAAACAATGCTTAATACAAAAAAGCGTACAAGGTATGCAACAATCACATGTGTTCAACTAAACAACTAAAAAGTACAATAATGCTATTTAGCAGTATAGAGTCACAATGATACCGTAAAACAAGCTACCCAACACACAAATACATACCAAAAAATAAGGGAATTTTTTTTTTCAGAAGTAGTGAGAAGAGGGAGGAAGTCAAAATAGCCCTGACATTTCGACCTTTATCAAGGGAGCACAAACAGTTCCAGAAGAAAAGAGGTAGCAGCCAGTCAACTTTCGGGAGTTCCTATGCGAATGTAAACTAATACTCCTCCTGGCTCGTTGGGAGCAAATGTTCCCCTTAGTCGGGAGTGTCTTTTCCCCAAAGAGCACTCTCCTGGTTTGTCTGTGAGAGGAGCAGGCAACGGTACGATTTTCCTGGGGATCGCAAGGTAGAGTATCTGAAATATAGTTCTTTATACTCGACGACCAGGTACCGCTGCCTACATTCAGGAGACAAAATGGCCACCATTTACCAGAGCACGTGTGTTCGGTTATACGAATGGCGGCCACCCAGAGAGAACACTTGAGTTAATTGTTTCTTTGAAGTCAACGAGCAAGGGGGGCAATCGGTGTTCAGTAGTATGAAAGTACCGAACCAAGGGGAAACATATCGTGTTCAGTTAAACGTGGGAAGCTAAACAAGGAAGTTCTTCACACTTCCCATCTGCCCACTGCAAGGAAAGGCCTTGCAGGAGGAGCAGGGACAGCACTTAGTGATGCAAACTACATCACAGCTCCTGCAGCTCTGCTGTCAATCATAGGAGGTTGACTGTACTTTGTAAGTTACCTTTCGAACTCCGCATGCCCTAAATATTCTTTCCCCTAAATTTTGCCCGTCCCAAAAGCTTAACAAACCGGTGAGAGGGTTTGAAAGTATGTGTGTGTTAATGAGTGTGTAAGTGACAACGTTTGTGTTAGTGCCAGTGAATGTGTGTGTGATTGAGCGTGTGTTTAGTGTGTGTCCATCCCATAAGAGATGCTTATGTATAATATTTATAAAATATATTAATATAATTATTTATTATATTAAAAGCCAGTTTTACATAAGGTGAACCTGTCAGACATAACTAGCCTTGCGGATATGGAATGGTATGGGAGGAAATCCATGGGGGTTGACATCATGAGTTACAACACCAGGTGACACTAGCCCTAGTGACACCACTGAATATATTGTTCAGTGTTTGCATCATTTTGTTTACTCACTCTGCCTGCATATCTGTAGTACTCTAGTTTATCAATGCAGAACATCTCATATTTTCTGTATCATGAATTTACAACATTAATATTGCAGTTTGCCACTGCTCAAATATATCCCTCAAGCCAAACAAACAACTTTAAAATAAAATACTAATTTCCATAAAAAAAAATATATTTCTCATTCTAGTTAAATTACAGAACTGTCTAAAACTTGATTTGATTATATTCCTTAATTAATCTAAATGTCTCTCTTGCACAGTCAGGTTGTACGATATTTTTGGTAAAGATACCAGGGAACTCACATACTTAGTATTAAACTGTATCCCTTTTATAAGGTCTTCGTCCCACATTCTGCTTCTCATCTCTCCTATAGTGTAACTCGCCATGAGCAATTACTGATTTAAAATGAATGAACATGAATACACTGTATAATTACTGTGCCACCCCTCTCCTGTAAAATAGTAAGTACAATTCTTAGCCCTATATAAAGTATACACATCACACAGTACTGCACTACTTCTCAAAAATAAATTCTCAATAAAATATGATATCACAAAATAATTGAATGTTCCCCTTTTGAGGAAGGAAGTTCAATTAAAATAGCTGTTGGTTATATTGATTGAATTGCTTTACTTAATTAAGCAAACAGTGGAGCCCAAGTCCAAATTAAAGTAATCAAGAGAATTTCCTGCCATTCTACCTGACTGTGGAAACTTTCTAATCTCACAATAAGACTAAAGTTGAATGACGGTAAAACCAAAGAAAAATAGGGATTATGTCCGATAGTTAAACACTCTTCTCTGCATTTTTGCATGTTTGTTAAGCATAACATTTTTTCACAAAGGGAATGAGAATTTTTAGCACTCATTCATATATTTTAACTGTTTACCTAATCATATAGTCTACTATTACCCGATGTAATGTTATTAATATAATTAATCTCACAATGATGGAAGACTGACTTTATTCTGCAGGGAATAGACCATATTCCTCTAGAACAGTGGTTCCCAAACCAGTCCTAAAGTACCCTATAACAGTCCAGGATTTAGGGATTACCCAGGTGCTAAAGTGTTTTTTGAAAAAAAACAAAAAACAAAACATTTTAGACACAACAGGGTAATCCCTAAATCTTGGACT